AGAGAGGGCTTCCAGCACTGCTGCTTCGGACGATGCGTTAATCTTGAGATTGTCTGGGTTGGCGGAGTCTTGGAGCGAGGGAGAAGCGGAGGAGGAGGAGGAGGAGGAAGTGGAGGAGAGGGAGGCGATGATATTTTGCTGGTGCAAGAGGGAGGAGACGAGGCGGGTGGCGACAGGCAGGCCGTAGGCCTCGTGGCGGGCGCGGTTGGTGAGGTGGCAGAGGTAGGCGGAGGGCCAGCGCAGCATGAAGCGGAAGGATTGCGCGCGCCACCAGTGCACCTGCAGGTACGGAGGGTTCTCCACGCGCACCCGCCCCATCACCTCCGTGTCCCCCCTGCTCTCCAGATATGCTGTGCCCCACCGCCTGGTGTGAGAGAGATGGGAGGAGGGGAGGGGTTGGAGAGGCGCAGGTGAGAGACGAGAGAGTGAGCCTCCACATTGCCTCCGTGTCCCCCCTGCTCTCCAGAAACGCTGTGACCCACCGCCTGATGGGAGGGAGATGGGGATGGAAAGGACGGGGTTTAGAACAGGCGCAGGTGAGAGAGTTTGAACGGCCCCTCCGTGTGCCCCCTTCTCTCTAGAATTGCCGTGCCCCCCTCTCTGTCATCTGGCAGTATGCACCGTGCAATGCAGGGGGTACTGGATTGTGAGGGACCAGATGCCTGAATCAGATGCCTGTTGCCTCAAGAGTCTCCCCGGGCAGCTAGCGCCGTGGCATGGGGCGGAAAGGGCGGAAAGGTCGACTCAGTGGAGAGCAGAACGCGCCTGTCAGACCCCATCAGCGCCTCCATCCCCTCTCCGCCCATGCCCTTGAGACTCGTAGCCAGCACGCTCACCCCACCCCCCCTCCAATGCAATCTCTCTCACCTGGCAGCAAGCGCGGTGTCATGCGGGGGGAACGTAGACTCGGTGAAGAGCAGAACGCGCGCGTCGGATGCCAGTACCGCCGCCATCTCCTCTGCGCCCGTTCCCTTGGGGGAGTCATAGCCGCCACGCTCACCCAACCCCACCTCCAATCACCACCACTTCCCATCCACCCCCTCTCCCCCCTCCGATGCAACCTCTCTCTCACCTAGCAGCCAGCGCCGTGGAATGCGGAGGAAAAGTCGATTCAATGAAGAGCAGAATGCGCGCGTCGGACGCCATTAGCGTTGCCTGTGCTCCCAGCATTGCCGCCTACTCTCAAGGTGCCTCAAGAGTCTCACCTAGCAGCAAGCGCGGTGGAATGCGGGGGAAAAGTAGACTCAGTGAAGAGCAGAACGCGCGCGTCGGACGCCAGTACCGCTGCCATCTCCTCTGCGCCCATGCCCGCGGGACTTGTAGCCAGCACGCTCACCCCTCCCCGCGCCACCATCTCCCGCACCCCGCCCTTCCCTGCTGGCCCTGCTGCTGCGACGGCTGCTATGGCTTCGAGTGCGGCTTCGTCGCACGAGGGGGCGACGAGGGGGAAGAAGTAGCAGGAGAAGGAACCTTGATCAGCGCCTGGGAGGAGATGGGGAGGGATTGGGAGGGCAAAAAGCACACAAGTTGTTGTGGTGAGTCACGGTTACCAGGGTTACTGGAGCAGAGAATGTCTTGTCACAGGAGCAGGAAGACAAATCGCAATCTGCGAGCAAACAAAGGTAACTGTGCGATGAGGGAGAGACGAGCGGGAAGAAGTGGCAGGAGAGAAAAGAGGAATGGGGAACAGGTGAGGGACACACGGAGCAAAGACGTATGAAGATGTGCGTGACGGTATGATGCAGGGTGTTTCCGAGAGCGTACCGGCGCAGTGAGAGTGGTTGGCGCGGGCGAATGACCCGGGCGTGGGGACGAGAATGCAATCGTGCGGCGACAGGGCGAGTCCTTACCAGCCCAGCCCTCCTTACAGTGCATCGCCTTACCAGTGCAGTGGGAATGGTTGGCGCGCTCGAATGACCCGGGCATGGGGACGAGAATGCGATCGTGCGACAGGGCGTGGTTCAGCCACGCGCTCATGATGTGAATCTGCGACCCGATGCCATTTCTGCGGTTCGGCCACGGCACCACCAGCAGGCGCCGCCCGCCGCACTCCCCCTTGGCGGCTTGCGCTAATGCGGAAGGCGGGGGCGCAGGGAACTGGTGCAGCCAGATGTCGGCCTGCGCCTGGCGCGTGGCGGCAAGATTGGCGGCGTCCGATCCGCGCACCCAAGGCGGTTGCGGGTAGCGGCACCCTTTCGGCGCGCTGGTCCATGCTGGCGCCTCCCCATGCGCTCCGTGCGCCTCTGTCTGCCGGCGGAACGCGCTGCGCTCCGAGCAGTCCTCGAGGTGCGGCGCGCGCGGCACGTTGGGCGGCAGGGCGATGCGCGCAGGCGGCTGCGCAGGGTCCGCTAGGCCGTAGACCCGCTCCCAGGCCTGGCGGAGAGGAGATTGTGGGAGGGGAGGGGCGGGGGGAGGGAGGCGACTTTTGAGAATTCTGAAAAGTCCGCGAGGCCGTAGACCCGCTCCCAAGCCTGGCGGGCAGAGGACGCGAGAGGGGAATGGGAAGGAAAGGGGAGGGGAGGGGGAGGTAAGGAGGGAAGGGGAGGGAAGGGGAGTGGATGGGAAGGAAAGAGGGAGGGGATGGGGAGGATAGGCGAGGCAAAGGGGCGTGGGTAGGGAGGGGAACTTCCCTTTGAAGGGATGGGAAGGGTAAGAGAGGGATCATCAACTACCGCGTACACTACTGCCAATGCACGACTGCATCGTAATTTCTTGATCCCTATATTTTTTAATGCATGTTGCCGACGACGCAGAAAGCCGTCTATCAATTTCGACGGCGAGGATGAGGGGGATCAATCGTACGCGATATAGCTCCATGGACCGCTCGAAGGAAGGCAGCTCGTTGGCGCGCCCCGAGTTGTCGTCGTCTTGCGGCATTTCGATGTACTCCTGCTCTTGCTGCAGCTTCCCCGTCATTCCGCGCCGGCCTCCTAACGGCGCCGCTTGTATCGCGAACACGCAAGCCAACAGCATGAGCAGAAGTGTAGAATTCATATTAATTCCTCTGCTACAGTGTCCAACCGTAAGGCCGGTCATTTTGGCCTTTAGAGAGTGATAGACTTCACGTCGCGGGACGGGGCGCCGGCTGAAATGACGACAAAAGCAAGAATCTTGGAACCCTTCTGTGTTAGCTGCGCGTACTAAGCCTTTTGAGTCGATTAATTGCAACTCATACTAACCACGAGTGGCGGGGAAAATTGCTTTTCCCGTACAGATTCTGCAAAAGCCGTTTTGATTTTTCTCAAGGACTCTCGGGATTTGCGCGTGAATTTGTGGAGCAGCTGAGCACAGGGTGCGTGTGTATGCACGGCTGCTTTTGACGGGGGAAAAAAATCCGTGATTACGAGCGGAAGAGCGCGAGCAGACCGATAATTGTGATGGCGATGCGGAATGAAAGCAGACCCGTTTATATCCCTCGACTGCGCCCATGGCGGTGAGTGTGGCCTGATCAAACAAAGCTGGAAAGGGGGACAGTGTGCCTGCGAACAAGTATGGTATGGATGGGTGTGGTCAGTCACGAATGCTTTCCTTTTGAGTTTTACCACCGTACAAAGGGTTCGAGTAAGATAGAGTATGCTTTTGTGCGGTACTCGGATCAAACAGGTCCGTGCGAAGGCCTGATGTGCTATGGCATTGCTGGCAAGCAGGCAGGCAGCCGAGCCGCAGGAGGCGATTGCTAGAGTGTTGCGCGTCGCTAGCTGTCCCGAGTGTGGAGCGGAGCATCCAATCAGTGCACTCCGCCCCACCAGAAAAGTCGGCCGACCAAAATATAAATGTTTTCTTACTAGCAGATTCGATATTACGAACATTCTTAAAATCATAAAACATGTGAGCTTTGCTCAATAAGCGAATTTCGGAAATGCTGAAACACCTAGCATCTTGCAATTCTTGATTTACATAGTACCCCCTGAAACCTTGTATTGATGCATGGCCGCATAACGAGGACATTAGCCACAACGCATTAGTTGTCGGAACAACACATCCCACATAGTTTCGCACCTCTCTTACCCCTGAGCCCGGCCTGCACGTGCAGCTGAACCTGCACCTGAAAGCCTTTCGATGTAGCCCTCGAAATTATGTATATCCTTTCCAGTCTCCCCCCGCTTCAGCCAGCAGCCATGTCGGGAAATTTGCCTCGTCGGGACTCGCACCTTCAAGCAATTGTGGTTCTTGTCGCGTCGCTCCTCGCGCTGTCGCTCGCCGTGTCGCAGACCGTCGCAGAGTCCACTTTCAACTCGCAGAAGAGGTAACGATAGTAGATTGCTTGTTTCTTTGTCGTTTAGGCGACAGCATGCGCCACTCGAAACGCTAGAAACGTCGCACTTGAGGGGAGGGGCCGCGACGCGATTGCAGCTGATTTAGAAACCAAGGGCGAGTGCGCGAGGTGGAAGGAGCCGAGCACTGAATTCGACGGCGGAAGTTAGACGTTGGAATGTGGGGAGGGGAGAGTTTTAAGACGTCTCAAAACGTCTCAAAAGAGATTTGAGACGTCTCGAATGTGGGGAGGGAAGGGTCCGGGTGAGAAAGAGGATGGGCGGATGGATGGGGAAGGGGGGAGATGGGGAAAGGGGGGGGGAGGGGTGGCATGGAAGGGGGGGAGGGAACAGAGGCTGGTGGTTGCTACATAGCGCGGGCTGCTGTGTGGGTGAATGCTGGGGAAAGACAGTGCTGTATGTAAATGGCTGGAAGGTTACCTGATTTTATGAGCACATAGTTAAAACCATGCCACCACCATGACATCACCATGACATCACCACCATGAATCACCTGGCACCATCACTCACCAGACTATCATCATAGCTTGCCCCATCATATCGCATGCACATATTTCTGCCATCTGATGCTCACTCCTTACTCCTTTCCCTCCCACTCTTCACCACCCTTATTCCATCCTCACACAACTCCTCACCACCCTCTCACACCATGGTCACACCACCCGCACACCACTCGTCACCGCATCCTAATCCGACATGCCACTCCCATGCATCATCCCATGGCAGACTCATCGCTTCAGGTGATAATAAACTTCAGAAGCATGAGGATGGGAACGCTACGACTCTGCAAGCAGGACCAGGCATTCCCATTGATCCCTCTCGCATCACCCGCCTGTCGTGGCAGCCCAGGTGATGTGTGGGGAGGGCTGATGAGATCCAAGGGAGTGTGAGTGGAGGGGAGTGAGGGCAGAGTGGTGTTTGAGGAATGAAGGGAAGGGGAAGTGGGGGGCGAGCAAGGTGGGATGAGGTTTGAGGTGAGAGTATTGTTTCTCCGTATTTGATGCTCTGTCTTCGCTTTCGCTCTTCCCTCCAGTTCAGTCAGAGTGTGCTGCTGCACGCATTCAGTTCAGTCAGAGTGTGCTGCTGCGCACATTCAGTTCAGTCAGAGTGTGCTGCTGCGCGCATTCAGTTCAGTCAGAGTGTGCTGCTGCACGCATTCAGTTCAGTCAGAGTGTGCTGCTGCACGCATTCAGTTCAGTCAGAGTGTGCTGCTGCGCGCATTCAGTTCAGTCAGAGTGTGCTGCTGCACGCATTCAGTTCAGTCAGAGTGTGCTGCTGCACGCATTCAGTTCAGTCAGAGTGTGCTGCTGCACGCATTCAGTTCAGTCAGAGTGTGCTGCTGCACGCATTCAGTTCAGTCAAAGTGTGCTGCTGCACGCATTCAGTTCAGTCAGAGTGTGCTGCTGCGCGTATTCAGTTCAGTCAGAGTGTGCTGCTGCACGCATTCAGTTCAGTCAGAGTGTGCTGCTGCACGCATTCAGTTCAGTCAGAGTGTGCTGCTGCACGCATTCAGTTCAGTCAGAGTGTACTGCTGCACGCATTCAGTTCAGTCAGAGTGTGCTGCTGCACGCATTCAGTTCAGTCAGAGTGTGCTGCTGCGCGCATTCAGTTCAGTCAGAGTGTGCTGCTGCGCGCATTCAGTTCAGTCAGAGTGTGCTGCTGCGCGCATTCAGTTCAGTCAGAGTGTGCTGCTGCACGCATTCAGTTCAGTCAGAGTGTGCTGCTGCACGCATTCAGTTCAGTCAGAGTGTGCTGCTGCACGCATTCAGTTCAGTCAGAGTGTGCTGCTGCACGCATTCAGTTCAATGCAGCACGACACACATGCCATCCAGCTTGCAATTGACTTGAACTGTCTGAAGAGCATGTTGAAAAAATAAAATTGATGCATTGAGTAATGACCCAAGAGGCCCTTTGGTACAAACAATGAGCAAGTGAGAGATGAGAGGGAAGCTTACCCTATTGGCCAATAAGTTGGCCAATGGGTGAGCTTGCTTGTGGCCCAAGCAACCACATATGTGTGCTGGTTGGGATTGGTTGAGCTAAGGACCAATCCCAACCAACCACAAAATGTGGTTGGAGGGTACACTAAACAACCCCCCAATGTATGAATATGCTACACATCTAATTCTAGCCTATGTATGTTGTATGAAATATGAAATTACAACAGAGCATACGCTTAGGATTGACACTAATGTTACGTTTCATTTTATCTTCCCTTTTTGGGATGCCATGAATGCTACATCACTGCCACCACACAATGCCGCCCAATGCCACACCACTGCTGCCACGCATTGCCACCCAATGCCGCCCAATGCCGTCCACGCAGGGCCTTCCTGTACTCGGGATTTCTCTCCCACGACGAGTGCGACCATCTCATCACCCTTGTAAGCCTCTCTTTCCCTTCGCTCCCCCTCACTCCTTTGCCGCGGCTCAACCCCCCCTCACTTGCACGTCTCAAAACGCTGCTGCTCAAGGTGACGCGGTCATCTGTGCCAGGCAAGGCAACGGCGCACCCTGTCCTTTCTCCCTCGTTTTAGTCACAAATCTCTGGCCCCTTGTTCCCACCCACCCCCTTGTTCCATGAGGCCCGCAACAATGTAACACAGTCGTTCATGGCGGAGCGGACAACTAGTCGGGGGCACAAGTTGACTTTAGAGGCACCTAAAAAATCAACAATCCCTCCCTTTCCCCACACACCCCCCCCACATCCCTCCCACCTCTACCCTCCCTTCCTCCCTCCTAGGCGCGCGACAAGGTATCTCGCTCATCAGTGGCGGACAACGAGTCGGGCAAGAGCGTGTTGAGTGAGATCCGCACGAGCTCAGGCACATTTCTCAACAAGTATCAGGACGACATTGTGAAGCGCATAGAGGAGCGCATTGCAGCATGGACCTTCCTCCCCAAAGGTACTCCTCCGCCCCAGAAGGTATGCTTGCTCTACAACAGTACCCCTCCTCCTCCCTGCTGTAACTGCGCCTGCTCAGGCGCGTTTCTGAACAAGTACCAGGATGACATGGTGAAGCGCATCGAGGAGCATGGCAAGGCGCATAGAGGTGCGCACGTATTCCACCCCAAGAGCGCCCCTCCTCTCTATCACCAGAGCATGGCAAGGCCATTCAGATCCTCCAGAACAGGTGGATGGACAACGCTCACTTTGACTATCACTCGTTGATGCTCTCCCTCCCTCCCCATGTGCCGCATCAGAGCACGGTAAAGCCAGTCAGATCCTCAAGTACGAGACCGGACAGAAGTACGACCACATGCCTTGATGCCTTTGCTTTCTTCTCTCATGTCGCTTTCTTTTTTCCCCTTTCTCCCGTCCGCCAGAGCACGGCGAAGCGATCCAAATACTAAAGTACGAGATCGGGCAGAAGTACGAGGCCCACTTTGACTATTTCTTTGACTCAGTCAACACACAGATGGGCGGCCACCGGGTGGCGACGGTGCTCATGTACTTGTCCACGGTGGAGGCAGGAGGGGAGACGGTGTTTCCTAATGCACAGGTGTGTACAATGTGGTAACAGGGGTGGGTGTGGCAGCATACAGATGGGCGCCCACAGGGTGGCGACGGTGCTCATGTACCTGACCACGGTGGAGGCAGGAGGGGAGACGGTGTTTCCCAATGCGCAGGTATGTACAATGTGGTAACAGGGGTGGGTGTGTCAACACACGGTCGGACAGCCATAGATCGCGACGGTGCTCATGTATCTGACAAGTGTGGAGGCAGGAGGGGAGACCGTCTTTCCCAATGCGCAGGTGATCTTCTGGTGCCGTTTCAGTGTGCCTCGTGTGCCTCGTGTGCCTCGTGTGCCTTGTGTGCCTCGTGTGCCGTTGGGGGCACCTGGATGAGTGGCACCTCGTGTGCCGTTGTGTTCATGTTGGTACCGGTATGGGGGTATGCATGTAAACACACAGATGGCCGGTCATAGGGTGGCAACGGTGCTCATGTATCTGACCCCGGTGGAAGAGGGGGGAGAGACCATGTTTCCCAGTTCACAGGTGTGTGTTCATTGCCTCGTGTGGTATTGGTGGTTGGTGGTTAGTTGGTATTATGGGACAGCAGGGGTGGGTGTGTCATCTCTCAGATGGGTGTGTCATCTCTCAGATGGGTGTGTCATCTCTCAGATGGGTGTGTCATCTCTCAGATGGGTGTGTCATCTCTCAGATGGGTGTGTCATCTCTCAGATGGGTGTGTCATCTCTCAGATGGGTGTGTCATCTCTCAGATGGGTGTGCACATAGTGACGACGGTGCACTTGTTTCTCACCACGGTGGAGGAAGGAGGGGAGACGGTGCTTCCCACTTCACAGGTGTGTGTGTGTGTGTGTGTGTGTGTGTGTGTGTGTGCGCGTGTGTGTGTGTGCGTGTGTGTGTGTGTGTGTGCGTGCGTGTGTGTGTGTGTGTGTGTGTGTGTGTGTGACTTCAGTGGTTCATTTGGTGGGTGGGAGTGTGAGAGGGGCTAGGCATGTAAACACACGCAGATGGGCGGCCACCGGGTGGCCTCCGTGCTCGTGTGGGAGGAGTGGTTCACGGGTGCTCGTGTAGGAGGAGTGGTTCACGGGTGCTCGTGTAGGAGGAGTGGTTCACGGGTGCTCGTGTAGGAGGAGTGGTTCACGGGTGCTCGTGTAGGAGGAGTGGTTCACGGGTGCTCGTTGTGCACGGGCGTATTTGACCACCGTGGAGGAGGGAGGGGAGACCGTGTTTCGTCATTCCTGGTGGGCAGGTGGCTTGAGACGTATCAAGAAACAAGTTTTTGAGGCGTATCAAGAAACAAGTATTTGAGGCGTCTTAATAATCAAGAATTTGAGGCGTCTCAAAACACAGGTTGGCGACTCTGCTGATGTATTCAGCCAGTCTGGATAAAGGTGGGGTCATTCCTGGTGGGCAGGTGGCTTGGTAGTGTTGAGGCGACTGCGGGGATGGATGTGTGTGTGTGTGTGTGTGTGTGAGAGAGAGAGAGAGAGAGAGAGAGAGAGAGAGAGAGAGAGAGAGCATGCATGCAGGCATGTGAAGGGAATGTGCGACCATTAGGTAGCGAGGTGATTGATGCTGCTTTTCATACTGTGGGTGTTTATTTCCCTCGCCACTTTCACCTCACCCCTCGCCTCCTCACCCCTCTCTCACTCCCTCTCTCTCTTCACTCATCTCCTCCTTCCCACTGTCCCTTCACTATCTGTTCGCCCCCTATTCCTCTCCCATCCCCCTCCACATGCCCAATTATCTCTCCCCACCCATATCTCACTGCCCAGCCCAGGTCTCCCATGGACCTCACTATGCCTGGCTGCGCACGCACAAGCTTGCCCCCACACTCCCTCTAACTACCCTGCTCCTCTCCCCTCTCCCCTGCTCCTCTCCGCACTCCCCCACATCTGCCCTTCCCCGCTCCCCCACATGTGCCCTTCCTCACTCCCCCCCTTGCAGCCCAGCCTAGGCCTGCTGTAGGCGTTACTGAATCTGACTGGGGCACACAGGGCTGATTCTTGGGAAGCTTAAAGCCTGGCCTGACTGCACACAGGCTTGCCTACAATGGGCGCCACTGGATCTGACTGTGTGCAGTGCAGGCAGGCCTGCCCCCCCACTTTGTCTAACTCCTCGCCCCTCTCCTCCCTTTCTATACCCCCTCACCGCACAGCCTAGGCCTCCCACGGACGCCACAGCGTCTGAATGTGCGAACAGAGGTCTGGCAGGTGCGTGTGCTCGCAGGGAGGTGCTAGTATGGGGTGCTGGTATGGGGTGGACTTGCATGTGCAGGTGTGTGCGGGTGTGTTCGGGTGTGTGTGGGTGTGTGTGGGTGTGTTCGGGTGTGTGTGGGTGTGTGTGGGTGTGTGTGGGTGTGTGCGGGTGTGTTCGGGTGTGTGTGGGTGTGTGTGGGTGTGTGTGGGTGTGTGTGGGTGTGTGTGGGTGTGTGTGGGTGTGTGTGGGTGTGTGTGGGTGTGTGTGGGTGTGTGTGGGTGTGTGTGGGTGTGTGTGGGTGTGTGCGGGTCACCACTGACCAGTCATCGCCACATGCTGTCTCCCGCTGCCCTCTCCATCCTCCCCTCTTCCTTCCCCCACTGCCTTCTCACCTTCTCCCCTCCTATCTTTCCCACCAGTCAAGCCTCAAAAGGGCGACGCACTGTTTGTTCTATTCGCTGCACCTGGACGGCACCACCGACCAGCCATCATTGCACGCCACCTGTCCCAATTGATCTGCACCCCCCCCTCCCCCCCTCCACCGTTCTCCCCGTTCCCCCTGCCTGCTCTCCCACCCTCTCTCTGCCACCAGTCAAGCCTCAGAGGGTAAATGCTCTCCTCTTCTACTCCCTTCACCCGGACGGCACCACGGACCAGTCATCATCGCACGCCCTCTCCTAATGACTTCTGCACCCCCTCCTCTTCCATCACCCCCCCATTTCACTTCCCTCCCTCCCCCTCCCCCCCCCTCTTTCCCACCCTCCCCTCAACCCCTCCCCTCCGCTTGCCAGTCAAGCCTCAAAAGGGCGACGCGCTGCTCTTCTATTCCCTCCACCCGGACGGCACCACGGACCAGTCATCATTGCACGCCAGCTGTCCCGTCATCCGCGGGGAGAAGTGGTCGGCAACCAAGTGGATCCACGTGCGCTCCTTTGAGGCGCGGCCCTTGGCACATGGCTGCGAGGATTTGAACCCTAAATGCGAGGAGTGGGCGGCGCTAGGCGAGTGTAAAAAGAACCCGGCGTATATGCTTGGGGATGGGGCGTACACTGGGAACTGTAGAAAAGCTTGTAAGGCATGTTAGAAGAATTGTTGTGTTTCTGGGCCCTGCCAAAAGCGCTCTGTTTTCTATTAGTGCTACGGAATGTGACGCATTGAGAAAGCTTGCTTTCTGTTATTGCAATGGCAACGTGGTTCATTAGAATTGCAATAAGACTAGTTTTCTGCTTGAATGGTAGACCTAATACAGAAACCTAAGGGAGATGAATTACAAACGAGCATGAGGTTCTGTCTAGGGACCTATACCGCATGACAAGGAGTGGTGTCTCGGTTCTGTTACGTTATTCGTTACCAGTGCCGCATGCCCCTGGCGAAGCCTGTTAAATCTTCGCGAAGCTGAGCTGGCCCTTGGAGATCACTTTGGCGAGAACTCACGCGCCTTGTAGTCGCCACTTGAAGCTTGCTCGCGTTTCATCAAAGTGTCGTTTTCAGGCCCCGACGAACCGCCAGCAATGACATAAAATGGCGTGAAGGGAACCCAAGTCCGCAAGTTCGGATTGGTCGTTCCACGATCCACGACGACGCGGCGTTTCAAAATGCCTTGCGAGGCGAACCCACGTTACAACGTTGTGGTAACTTGGAATGCGTAGAAGGCTAATATATGAAGTGATCTGTTTAGTTTCGAAGCGGCAGGCGGCGCGACGGTTGCCTGACGTTGAGGAGGACGTGTTGTTAACGGCATACGTCCTAGCATTTTTGCGACGCATCTAGCCGTCCGTCAGGATGATCGATGGCGCAGCGCTGCTCCCCGCGCAGGTGCTGCGCAACCTCTCCGACAAACTCTACGACAAGCGCAAGGCGGCCGCGCTCGAGGTGCGCGGACAGTAGGGGAGGGGAAAGAAGGGGTAACGGGAGCAGGGGAGAAACAACGCCTTTTTCTCGTTACATCTCTCGGCCACTCTCTGTTTTTCCCATCCGAGAGAGTGCTGTGGGACACCTGCCACTCAGCACCTCGTCCGGCCGGGTCCTCCCCCATTGTGCGACATGTGCTGTGTGTGCAGATCGAGACAGCAGTGAAGGCGGCTGTAGCAGAGGGGAACGATGAGAGAATCAACTTCACTTTCCTCACTCTCTTCCCCTCACCCCGCTTTGCCCCACCTCCCGTTCCCCCCATTGTGTTACATGAGTTGTGCAGATCGAGACGGCAGTGAAGGCGGCTGTAGCAGAGGGCAACGATGAGCGGATCAACGCAATCATTTCCCTGCTGGCCAATGATTACGCCACGTCAGCACAGCCGAACCAGAGAAAGGTGGGTGGCAGAGGGGACACGGAGGGAGCAAGGAGGGGCGCGGACGAATTGCTCTACCCTCCAATCTACCAACAAGCTACTGCTACTGCCCTACCCCCATTCTCGCGCATATCAACTAAACCAAACCTCCCAGCGCAATGCCTTTTCCCCTTCTTCCCCCACTCTCTCCTTCTCCTGCCTGCACCCGCCCCCCCGCGCCCCTCTTGACCATGGCCGCAGGGGGGTCTCATAGGGCTGGCGGCGGTCACGGTGGGGCTGGGACCTGACGCCAGTCAGTACCTTGATGTACGTGTGGGGGGGGGAGGCATTGAACGATTGGGCATGAGATGTTGTTCTCATTTCATGGCATTGCATGCGGCATGGGGATGTGTGCGCCCTTCTCTCATAGGGCTGGCGGCGGTCACGGTGGGGCTGGGACCTGACGCCAGTCAGTACCTCGACGTACGTGTGGGGGAGTAAGGAGTGGTGGGGTTGGGTAGTGCAATACACGCAGTCATGGTGCAATACACGCAGTCATGGTGCAATACACGCAGTCATGGTGCAATACACGCAGTCATGGTGCAATACACGCAGTCATGGTGCAATACACGTTGTCATGGTGCAATACACGCAGTCATGGTGCAATACACGTTGTCATGGTGCAATACACGCAGTCATGGTGCAATACACGCAGTCATGGTGCAATACACGCAGTCATGGTGCAATACACGCAGTCATGGTGCAATACACGCAGTCATGGTGCAATACACGCAGTCATGGTGCAATACACGCAGTCATGGTGCAATACACGCAGCCATGGCGCAATACACGTAGTCATGGTGCAATACACGCAGCCATGGCGCAATACACGTAGTCATGGTGCAATACACGCAGTCATGGTGCAATACACGCAGTCATGGTGCAATACACGCAGTCATGGTGCAATACACGCAGTCATGGTGCAATACACGCAGTCATGGTGCAATACACGTAGTCATGGTGCAATACACGCAGTCATGGTGCAATACACGTAGTCATGGTGCAATACACGCAGTCATGGTGCAATACACGCAGTCATGGTGCAATACACGCAGTCATGGTGCAATACACGCAGCCATGGCGCAATACACGCAGTCATGGTGCAATACACGCAGTCATGGTGCAATACACGCAGTCATGGTGCAATACACGCAGTCATGGTGCAATACACGCAGTCATGGTGCAATACACGCAGTCATGGTGCAATACACGCAGTCATGGTGCAATACACGCAGTCATGGTGCAATACACGCAGTCATGGTGCAATACACGCAGTCATGGTGCAATACACGTTGTCATGGTGCAATACACGCAGTCATGGTGCAATACACGTTGTCATGGTGCAATACACGCAGTCATGGTGCAATACACGCAGTCATGGTGCAATACACGCAGTCATGGTGCAATACACGCAGTCATGGTGCAATACACGCAGTCATGGTGCAATACACGCAGTCATGGTGCAATACACGCAGTCATGGTGCAATACACGCAGCCATGGCGCAATACACGTAGTCATGGTGCAATACACGCAGCCATGGCGCAATACACGTAGTCATGGTGCAATACACGCAGTCATGGTGCAATACACGCAGTCATGGTGCAATACACGTAGTCATGGTGCAATACACGCAGTCATGGTGCAATACACGCAGTCATGGTGCAATACACGTAGTCATGGTGCAATACACGCAGTCATGGTGCAATACACGCAGTCATGGTGCAATACACGCAGTCATGGTGCAATACACGCAGTCATGGTGCAATACACGCAGTCATGGTGCAATACACGCAGCCATGGCGCAATACACGCAGTCATGGTGCAATACACGCAGTCATGGTGCAATACACGCAGTCATGGTGCAATACACGCAGTCATGGTGCAATACACGCAGTCATGGTGCAATACACGCAGTCATGGTGCAATACACGCAGTCATGGTGCAATACACGCAGTCATGGTGCAATACACGCAGTCATGGTGCAATACACGCAGTCATGGTGCAATACACGCAGTCATGGTGCAATACACGCAGTCATGGTGCAATACACGCAGTCATGGTGCAATACACGCAGTCATGGTGCAATACACGCAGTCATGGTGCAATACACGCAGTCATGGTGCAATACACGCAGTCATGGTGCAATACACGCAGTCATGGTGCAATACACGCAGTCATGGTGCAATACACGCAGTCATGGTGCAATGCACGCAGTCATGGTGCAATGCACGCAGTCATGGTGCAATACACGCAGTCATGGTGCAATACACGCAGTCATGGTGCAATACACGCAGTCATGGTGCAATACACGTAGTCATGGTGCAATACACGCAGTCATGGTGCAATACACGTAGTCATGGTGCAATACACGCAGTCATGGTGCAATACACGCAGTCATGGTGCAATACACGCAGTCATGGTGCAATACACGCAGTCATGGTGCAATACACGCAGTCATGGTGCAATACACGCAGTCATGGTGCAATACACGCAGTCATGGTGCAATACACGCAGTCATGGTGCAATACACGCAGTCATGGTGCAATACACGCAGTCATGGTGCAATACACGCAGTCATGGTGCAATACACGCAGTCATGGTGCAATACACGCAGTCATGGTGCAATACACGCAGTCATGGTGCAATACACGCAGCCATGGCGCAATACACGTAGTCATGGTGCAATACACGCAGCCATGGCGCAATACACGTAGTCATGGTGCAATACACGCAGTCATGGTGCAATACACGTAGTCATGGTGCTCTCATGGCTCATAGGGCTGGCGGCTGTCACAGTGGGGTGGTTCCCTGACACCATCCAGCCAGTACCTCGATGTTCGTGTGGTGGGGGGGTGGGGGGTGGGAAGAGAGAGGGGCGTGGTGGGTGTGCTGTACTGATGCACGCGGGGATGGTGGGTTCCATCTGATGGTGGTTCCATCTGCATGCCTTACCGTCCGACTCTCATAGGGCTGGTGGCTGTGTGTGCCCGTGGGGCTGGGCCCTGATGCCAGTCAGTACCTTGATGTATGTACGTGTGGGGGGGTGGGGGGGGGGGCTGGGGAACGAGGAGGTGGGGAGTGGAATGTTGGTGCCCCAGTGCTTGGCGGCTGTGACCGTGAGGCTGTGACCGTGAGGCTGGGGCCAAACCTTTGAGTCGACTCAAAAGTCGGAACGAGGAGGTGTGGAATGGATAGAATGTTGGAACGAGGAGGTGTGGAATGGATGGAATGTTGGAACGAGGAGGTGTGGAATGGATGGAATGTTGGTGCCCTAGTGGCGGGCGGCTGTGATCGTGGGGCTGGGGCCAGACGCCAGTCATGTTGATGCTGCTTTTGAGTCAGTACCTTGATGTACGTGTGGGGGGGTGGGGAGCCTTGCAGAAGGGCATGGAACGATGCACCCGTTGGCGTTGCCTGTGGTATGGGATGCGGACTCACACTTCCCCCTTTGTGTTTTGAGTCGACTCAAAACACACTTCCCCCTTTGTCTGGGGTCTCATAGGGCTGGCGGCTGTCACACTGTGGGGCTGCCTGGGCCCTGACGCCAACTCGATGTACGTTGGGGGGGTTGTCAGGGTGGGAATGGGATGGGATGGGATGGGATGGTGCATCCATGATCCATGGCGCTGCATGCAGTATGGGGGAGTGCACTGTGTACATGCATGCCTCACTCGCTGTTTCTCATTGAGTTGGCAGCTGTGATGGTCACTGGGGTGGGGGGGGCTGGGGACCTTGATTCCAGCTACCACGTCCGTCCATGTATGTGGGCGGCTTTCTGGATTCCAACTGTTTGAGCCGATTTTCCCTTGAGTGCTTCAGCGTTTTTATGCATTCTTTTCCATGCCAGTGACATATCATCTCACGATGTTCTCAGCCCCTTGCTGCACTTGAGCTTCCTAACCTTCCCTGCCTGTCCGCCTTCCCCATGTGTACCCCCATGCACTGCATCCCACTACCACCCCACCCCCCTGTCCCCACATCATAATGCCTGGCCTGGCCTGGGCATCAACTCTTTCCACCCCCCTGTCCCCATACACCCATCCATCCATACATACATACACTCGTACCTGTCCACTAGGGCCTGCCCATCAACTCTTGAGTCGACTCAACAACACGCTTCCATCCATTCACTCTTAACTTCCAAAGCCCTTCTTTGCCCGTTGCTTCCTACCCTGGTGTTCCCCTCTCTGTGCGCGCCATGCACTGCACTGCATGCATCCACCTCATCCACCCCCACCCCAGCGCATCGTGCCAGATGTGCTCAAGTGGTACCTCGGACTTGGACAGCCAAGTGCGCTCCTGCAATTCCCCCTTCCCCCCGCCCTCCATCCCCCTCCCTCCCTTCTTCCCCACCCCAGCGCATCGTGCCAGAGGTGCTCAAGTCGTACCTCGGACTCAGACAGCCACGTGCACTCCTGCCACTCCCCCTTCCCCCTGCCCTCCACCCCCCTCCGCCACACAAAATCTCTCCCTACCAGCGCATCGTGCCGGAGGTGCTCAAGTCGTTCTCGGATTCAGACAGCCGAGTGCGCTACTACGCCTGCCACTCCCCCTTCCCCCCGCCCTCAATCGCCCTCCCCCCATCCTTCCCCCCTCCCTTCCCCACCCACAACACTCTCTCCATCCCCCAGCGCATCGTGCCAGAGGTGCTCAAGTCGTTCTCAGACTCGGACAGTCGAGTGCGCTACTACGCCTGTGAAGCGCTCTACAACATCGCCAAGGTAATCCCCTCACTCTGACCTGCTGTCTGCGTGCCATTGCATCAAGGTGACTTGTGAGTTGACTCATATGGACAGCCGGGTGCGCTACTACGCCTGTGAAGCGCTCTACAACATCGCCAAGGTGACCTTCTTGCTCCTGGTTTTTCAGTAGATTTTTGGGGGGGTTGGGGTTTGGCAGGTTCGGGTTTTTGGGTTTCGGGTTTGGGGTTTGAAGTTTTTGGTTGGAGGGTTGGGGTTTTTTAACTTTGGGATTTGGGTTTTTACCCACTCAAAGTGCACTTGTGCCCCACAACACAACATTGCCAAGCCCGCGTTTTATATTTGAAGGAGGATTGACCAGTGAGTGAGTGTGAGCTAAGAAGCTTTTGGTTGAGTGCTGGGTGTGCGCTGCGTTGAGTACAAGTGGAGGTGGTTTGGTCTAAAGAACCACTTTGATACCAAATCAACTTTCACGCATTCCAGAAGAGTCCTGAGGCGCCTCAAAGGTCGTCGTTGTGATGGCTTTTAAGGCACCTTAGAAGTGGACCAAACAACTACTGTAATACAGCAGACAAACTTTTACAATTTTAATTGGAAAAGCCACGTGATAAAAGCTGGGTTTTGAGACGTCTCAAAACCCAACTTCTATCACGTGGCTTTCACACTCAGTGCAATCCATCATGCATGCACCCAACTAAAATGTGTGGAATGAATGAACCCTTACAAGAGGCAACTCATGATTTGATACAGATGACAAGCATGAGGCAACTCATGATTTGATACAGATGACAAGCATGAGGCAACTCATGATTTGATACAGATGACAAGCATGAGGCAACTCATGATTTGATACAGATGACAAGCATGAGGCAACTCATGATTTGATACAGATGACAAGCATGAGGCAACTCATGATTTGATACAGATGACAAGCATGAGGCAACTCATGATTTGATACAGATGACAAGCATGAGGCAACTCATGATTTGATACAGATGACAAGCATGAGGCAACTCATGATTTGATACAGATGACAAGCATGAGGCAACTCATGATTTGATACAGATGACAAGCATGAGGCAACTCATGATTTGATACAGATGACAAGCATGCAACGTGGGCACAGTTCACACCCACTGTGCATCTTGCTTACACTCCCTCCCTCCCTCCCTCCGTCCTATCACCAGGTGACACGTGGCGACTTCATAGTGTTCTTCAATGACGCGTTCAACGCTCTCTGCAAGCTCTCTGCTGACCTGGACCCCAACGTGCAGTCCGCCGCCCACCTGCTGGACCGGCTTGTCAAGGTGAGGAGTGAGGGAGTGAGAGAGTTGGGGAGAAAGGGAGTGAGAGAGTTGGGGAGAAAGGGAGTGAGAGAATTGGGGAGAAAGGGAGTGAGTGACCCCAACGTGCAATCCGCCACACACCCGCTCGATTGTCTCGTTGAGGTGCGGAATGAGTGTGTGTGTGAGTGGGTGGGTGAAAGAGTGGGCGAGTGATTGAGTAAATGAATGAGTGACCACCTGTCAATGGCAGCAAGGAGGAGGCTATTGATGCTGCAGGGTATTTTTGAGAATTCTCAAAAATACCCTGCAGGACCACCTGTCAATGGCAGCCAAGAGGCTATTGGAGGCAAGGAATCAGAACCCAGGATTTCTAACCTTTTAAGCCACCATCCACTCTATCATCACTCATTCCACACTCTCCCTCCATCGACCTGCTCCACCACCCCCCTTCTCATACGCACCCTCTCTACTACAGGGCATAGTCACTGTCAGCGACCAATTCAGGTGCCCCTCCGCCCCCGTGCCGCAAGCACTTTCCTCCTACCACACTTAGTTTTTCTCCCACCCCCATGCCCTCCCAACCCCTTCTCATACTCACCCTCTCTACTACAGGACATAGTCACTGTCAGCGACCAATTCAGGTGCCCCCTTGCCCGTCCCTGTCACTGCCTCTCTCTGCCCACATCCACCCCCTTCACTTCTCACTTCCCGCCTCGCCTCCATTACTGCTCCCTCTTCTCGTTCCCATCCACATCCTTTCTCCTTCTCCTTTGTGGTTTGTTCCAATCAAGCATTTACTCTCTTGCACATTCCACTCACCCACCACTCTGCCGTCCGTCCGTTGGATCTAATCTACACCGTTCCCTCTCCGTTTCATCCCATTGCAACACTGCCTGCCTGCCCTAATTGCGACTCATTGCTCCCGTGCTGCCTCAATCTTTTGGTCAGTTCAAAAGTAGGCTCAATTCTGACTCCACTTTCCCTTGCTCGAAAGTACCACGGTCAGGCGCAGCGCAGGCGTGCCACCTCCTCCTGCTCCAAAGTATCACACCTATATTTGTATGACTTTTGAGAATTCTCAAAAGTCATACAGTAATACACCTCGCCCTGGAGCACTCTTTGCATCACCACAAGCCTTGACACCACCAATCTCTTTTTATAGCCCGCCTGAAAGAAATTCGTGGGTGGAGCTGCGATGTGGACATGACATGCTCCCCCCCATCCTCCATACCCCATGCATACAGCATAGGGGAATTCATTCCTTTGCTCCGGGCGCACATGAGTGTGCTCAACCCCTTGTTCCTTCCTCGCCGGCTGGATCACTGCTGTCCCGTGCCTCACACCCTGCGCCTGCCCTTGTCATGCCCCATACCCTTGTCTTTGTGCCCCATGACCTACACTGCTGTCCCGTGCCCCATCCCTTGCCTTGCCCTATCTCTTGTGCGTCATACCCTATCCTCCATGCCCCATGACCAAAACCTTCATCCTATCCCCGCACAGTATAGAAGAGTTCATCCCGCTGCTCCGAGCGCACATGAGTGTGCTCAACCCCTTCGTGCAGCAGTTCCTGGTCGGATGGATCACCGTGCTGGACAGCGTGCCTGACATTGACATGCTAGGATTCCTACCCGACTTGCTAGACGGTCAGTGAATCATCTGAGCTCTCTGATTGCAATCAGCTTAAAGTCGACTCCAAGGGATCACGGTGCTGGACAGCGTGCCTGACATCGACATGCTCGGGTTCCTACCTGATCTACTCGACGGTGAGTGCTGTGCTGTGAACGTAGTGTCTGCATGCATGGCTTCTGTGTGTGTGCCTTATGAGTCAAGCCAAGTCGGCTGGATCACGGTGCTTGACAGCGTGCCTGATATTGACATGCTTGGCTTCCTGCCCGACCTGCTGGATGGTGGGTTGGTTGCTTGGTGCGTGGATTGTGTGTGTGTGCCATCTGAGTCCAAGTCCAGTCAAGTCAGTAGACAGCTTGACAGCGTGCCTGACATTGACATGCTCGGCTTCTTACCAGACCTGCTGGATGGTGGGTAGTCTGAACTTTGTATCTGTATTTTATGCCCTTTGAATTGCCCTACCCTGCTCTCCATGCATGATGCCTCCTCACCATGCGTGATGCCTCCTCACCATGCGTGATGCCTCCTCACCATGCATGATGCCTCCTCACCATGCGTGATGCCTGCTCACCATGCGTGATGCCTGCTCACCATGCGTGATGCCTCCTCACCATGCGTGATGCCTGCTCACCATGCACACACTGAGCAACCAGAAAGCAGCTGTTCCCTCCTATGTGATGCCTTCCTCTCCCTCCTTAAGAACCTCTTTCCCGTCCCTCCGCTGCCCTCCTGGCGTCACGTCTCTCTCCCCCATATCTTGTTGACTTGGAAGTAGTAGTAGTGGCTGTCCCATAATATCGCAGTGCAGGCACACAGTGCTCTGTATCACTTATGAGAATTCTCCAAAGTGGCTCACGAGATCCCAGAGCAAGCAGAAAGCACGTTTGGCCCATGAAGTTAGAGTGCCGGCAGCTAGTGAACGTGTTCGTGTTCGCCCCTGCACGAACACAGCCATTCGCCGAACCGAACACTTTTAGTAAAAACAGATGTTCGGTGTTCGCCTGTGAAGGCGTGTTGGGGCGAACCTCGAGCACGTTTGTCACGAACACTTTAAGCTAAAAAAAACACCTGTTCGGTTCGCCTCGAGCACGTTCGAGGCGAACCGAACAGGGGCTCGTTTCTTTGCTCAACCCTACCGGCAGTGGCAGACAGTGCAGTGAGGAACCATCATGCCACTCAACCCACCTAACTATCCCTCTCCCCCCGCTCTTCTACCGCTTTTCCTCCCCTTTCCCTACCCAGGCCTGTTCAACATGCTGGGCGATTCAGCCCACGAAATTCGAGTGCAGGCAGACAGTGCTCTGAGGGAGTTTTTGCACGAGATTCGCCACGCGCCTGTGAGTGGCAGGGGGGGGAGATAGGAAGGGGGGGGGGGGAAGGGGGGGTGCTTGCAGTAGGGTGCAGGTAAGGTGGTTCAGGGTGCAGGGTTCTGTTCCCCCCCCCCCCCCCATTTCTAACCTTCCGTTTCCCGTTCCCCCCTTTCCCCTGCCAGGCTGTGGAGTATGGGCGCATGATGGAGATCCTGGTGCAGCAGGCACCCATTCCCTTTGTCGCCCATCCCAATCCTGCCGTCCCATTCTCCTCCCCCCTGCCCCATCTTCAGGCGGTGGAGTACGGGCGAATGATGGAGATCCTGGTGCAGCGAGCGGGGTCCTCTGATGAGTTCACTCGCCTCACTGCTGTCACATGGGTAGGATGGGATGGGATGCTGTCACATGGGTAAGATGGGATGGGATGCTGTCACATGGGTATGATGGCATGGGATGCTGTCACATGGGTATCATGGCATGGGATGCTGTCACATGGGTATGATGGCATGGGATGCTGTCACATGGGTATGATGGCATGGGATGCTGTCACATGGGTATGATGGCATGGGATGCTGTCACATGGGTATGATGGCATGGGATGCTGTCACATGGGTATGATGGCATGGGATGCTGTCACATGGGTATGATGGCATGGGATGCTGTCACATGGGTATGATGGCATGGGATGCTGTCACATGGGTATGATGGCATGGGATGCTGTCACTTGGGTATGATGGCATGGGATGCTGTCACATGGGTATGATGGCATGGGATACTGTCACATGGGTATGATGGCATGGGATGCTGTCACATGGGTATGATGGCATGGGATGCTGTCACATGGGTATGATGGCATGGGATGCTGTCACATGGGTATGATGGCATGGGATGCTGTCACTTGGGTATGATGGCATGGGATGCTGTCACTTGGGTATGATGGCATGGGATGCTGTCACATGGGTATGATGGCATGGGATGCTGTCACATGGGTATGATGGGATGGGATGCTGTCACTTGGGTATGATGGGATGGGATGCTGTCACATGGGTATGATGGGATGGGATGCTGTCACATGGGTATGATGGGATGGGATGCTGTCACATGGGTATGATGGCATGGGATGCTGTCACATGGGTATGATGGCATGGGATGCTGTCACTTGGGTATGATGGCATGGGATGCTGTCACTTGGGTATGATGGCATGGGATGCTGTCACATGGGTATGATGGCATGGGATGCTGTCACATGGGTATGATGGGATGGGATGCTGTCACTTGGGTATGATGGGATGGGATGCTGTCACATGGGTATGATGGGATGGGATGCTGTCACATGGGTATGATGGGATGGGATGCTGTCACATGGGTATGATGGCATGGGATGCTGTCACATGGGTATGATGGCATGGGATGCTGTCACATGGGTAGGATGGGATGGGATGCTGTCACATGGGTATGATGGCATGGGATGCTGTCAGATGGGTATGATGGGATGGGATGCTGTCACTTGGGTATGATGGCATGGGATGCTGTCACATGGGTATGATGGGATGGGATGCTGTCACATGGGTATGATGGCATGGGATGCTGTCACATGGGTATCATGGGATGGGATGCTGTCACATGGGTATGATGGCATGGGATGCCGTCACTTGGGTATGATGGCATGGGATGCTGTCACTTGGGTATGATGGCATGGGATGCTGTCACTTGGGTATGATGGCATGGGATGCTGTGACATGGGTAGGATGGGATGGGATGCTGTCACATGGGTATGATGGCATGGGATGCTGTCACATGGGTATGATGGCATGGGATGCTGTCACATGGGTAGGATGGGATGGGATGCTGTCACATGGGTATGATGGCATGGGATGCTGTCACATGGGTAGGATGGGATGGGATGCTGTCATATGGGTATGATGGCATGGGATGCTGTCACATGGGTGTGATGGGATGGGATGCTGTCACTTGGGTATGATGGCATGGGATGCTGTCACATGGGTATGATGGGATGGGATGCTGTCACATGGGTATGATTGCATGGGATGCTGTCACATGGGTATCATGGGATGGGATGCTGTCACATGGGTATGATGGCATGGGATGCTGTCACTTGGGTATAATGGCATGGGATGCTGTCACTTGGGTATGATGGCATGGGATGCTGTCACTTGGGTATGATGGCATGGGATGCTGTCACATGGGTAGGATGGGATGGGATGCTGTCACATGGGTATGATGGCATGGGATGCTGTCACATGGGTATGATGGCATGGGATGCTGTCACATGGGTAGGATGGGATGGGATGCTGTCACATGGGTATGATGGCATGGGATGCTGTCACATGGGTATGATGGGATGGGATGCTGTCACATGGGTATGATGGCATGGGATGCTGTCACATGGGTATCATGGGATGGGATGCTGTCACATGGGTATGATGGCATGGGATGCTGTCACTTGGGTATGATGGCATGGGATGCTGTCACTTGGGTATGATGGCATGGGCTGCTGTCACATGGGTATGATGGCATGGGATGCTGTCACATGGGTATGATGGGATGGGATGCTGTCACTTGGGTATGATGGCATGGGATGCTGTCACATGGGTATGATGGCATGGGATGCTGTCACTTGGGTATGATGGCATGGGATGCTGTCACTTGGGTATGATAGCATGGGATGCTGTCACTTGGGTATGATGGCATGGGATGCTGTCACTTGGGTATGATGGCATGGGATGCTGTCACATGGGTATGATGGGATGGGATGCCGTCACTTGGGTATGATGGCATGGGATGCTGTCACATGGGTATGATGGCATGGGATGCTGTCACTTGGGTATGATGGCATGGGATGCTGTCACTTGGGTGTGATGGCATGGGATGCTGTCACTTGGGTGTGATGGCATGGGATGCTGTCACTTGGGTATGATGGCATGGGATGCTGTCACTTGGGTGTGATGGCATGGGATGCTGTCACATGGGTATGATGGCATGGGATGCTGTCACATGGGTATGATGGCATGGGATGCTGTCACTTGGGTATGATGGCATGGGATGGTGTCACTTGGGTATGATGGCATGGGATGCTGTCACTTGGGTGTGATGGCATGGGATGCTGTCACATGGGTATGATGGCATGGGATGCTGTCACTTGGGTATGATGGCATGGGATGCTGTCACTTGGGTATGATGGCATGGGATGCTGTCACATGGGTATGATGGCATGGGATGCTGTCACATGGGTATGATGGGATGGGATGCTGTCACATGGGTATGATGGCATGGGATGCTGTCACATGGGTATGATGGCATGGGATGCTGTCACATGGGTATGATGGGATGGGATGCTGTCACTTGGGTATGATGGCATGGGATGCTGTCACTTGGGTATGATGGCATGGGATGCTGTCACTTGGGTATGATAGCATGGGATGCTGTCACTTGGGTATGATAGCATGGGATGCTGTCACATGGGTATGATGGCATGGGATGCTGTCACTTGGGTATGATGGCATGGGATGCTGTCACTTGGGTATGATGGCATGGGATGCTGTCACATGGGTATGATGGCATGGGATGCTGTCACATGGGTATGATGGGATGGGATGCTGTCACATGGGTATGATGGCATGGGATGCTGTCACATGGGTATCATGGGATGGGATGCTGTCACATGGGTATGATGGCATGGGATGCTGTCACTTGGGTATGATGGCATGGGATGCTGTCACTTGGGTATGATGGCATGGGCTGCTGTCACTTGGGTATGATGGCATGGGATGCTGTCACATGGGTATGATGGGATGGGATGCTGTCACTTGGGTATGATGGCATGGGATGATGTCACTTGGGTATGATGGCATGGGATGCTGTCACATGGGTATGATGGCATGGGATGCTGTCACATGGGTATGATGGCATGGGATGCTGTCACTTGGGTATGATGGCATGGGATGCTGTCACTTGGGTATGATAGCATGGGATGCTGTCACTTGGGTATGATGGCATGGGATGCTGTCACTTGGGTATGATGGCATGGGATGCTGTCACATGGGTATGATGGGATGGGATGCCGTCACTTGGGTATGATGGCATGGGATGCTGTCACATGGGTATGATGGGATGGGATTCTGTCACTTGGGTATGATGGCATGGGATGCTGTCACTTGGGTATGATGGCATGGGATGCTGTCACTTGGGTATGATGGCATGGGATGCTGTCACATGGGTATGATGGCATGGGATGCTGTCACTTGGGTATGATGGCATGGGATGCTGTCACTTGGGTATGATGGCATGGGATGCTGTCACTTGGGTATGATGGCATGGGATGCTGTCACATGGGTATGATGGCATGGGATGCTGTCACTTGGGTATGATGGCATGGGATGCTGTCACATGGGTATGATGGCATGGGATGCTGTCACATGGGTATGATGGCATGGGATGCTGTCACATGGGTATGATGGCATGGGATGCTGTCACATGGGTATGATGGCATGGGATGCTGTCACATGGGTATGATGGCATGGGATGCTGTCACTTGGGTATGATGGCATGGGATGCTGTCACTTGGGTATGATGGCATGGGATGCTGTCACATGGGTATGATTGCATGGGATGCTGTCACTTGGGTATGATGGGATGGGATGCTGTCACATGGGTATGATGGGATGGGATGCTGTCACTTGGGTATGATGGGATGGGATGCTGTCACATGGGTATGATGGGATGGGATGGGATGGGATGCTGTCACATGGGTATGATGGGATGGGATGGGATGGGATGCTGTCACATGGGTATGATGGGATGGGATGGGACGGGATGCTGTCACATGGGTATGATGGGATGGGATGGGACGGGATGCTGTCACATGGGTATGATGGGATGTGATGGGACGGGATGCTGTCACATGGGTATGATGGGATGGGATGGGACGGGATGCTGTCACATGGGTATGATGGGATGTGATGGGACGGGATGCTGTCACATGGGTATGATGGGATGTGATGTGACGTGATGTGATGTGATGTGATGTGATGTGATGTGTTGTGATGTGATGTGATGTGATGTGATGTGATGTGATGTGATGTGATGTGATGTGATGTGATGTGATGTGATGTGATGTGTTGTGATGTGATGTGATGTGATGTGATGTGTTGTGATGTGATGTGATGTGATGTGATGTGATGTGATGTGATGTGATGTGTTGTGATGTGATGTGATGTGATGTGATGTGTTGTGATGTGATGTGACGTGATGTGATGTGATGTGATGTGATGTGATGTGTTGTGATGTGATGTGATGTGATGTGATGTGATGTGATGTGATGTGATGTGATGTGATGTGATGTGATGTGATGTGTTGTGATGTGATGTGATGTGATGTGATGTGTTGTGATGTGATGTGATGTGTTGTGATGTGATGTGATGTGATGTGATGTGTTGTGATGTGATGTGATGTGATGTGATGTGATGTGATGTGATGTGATGTGATGTGATGTGATGTGATGTGATGTGTTGTGATGTGATGTGATGTGATGTGATGTGTTGTGATGTGATGTGATGTGTTGTGATGTGATGTGATGTGATGTGATGTGTTGTGATGTGATGTGATGTGATGTGATGTGATGTGATGTGTTGTGATGTGATGTGTTGTGACATGCTGTCACATGGGTATGATGTGATGTGATGATGCGGTAGTGCATGCCCCACTGCTTTCACATGAATACAGATGTTGCCATGGTATCTGACACATGTGTTTTACTCACATGCCTGTGATTCAACGACTTTGTGAAGCTGGCCTGAGCACAGATGATGATGCCGTACCATGCCGCTGTGGTGGGCGCCATATTACCCCATGTCACAAGCTGATGCATGCTCTCTGCTCTCCTCTAATCCAACGCAGATCAACGATTTTGTGAAGCTGGGGGGAGCACAGATGATGCCGTACTATGCAGCTGTGGTGGGCGCCATTCTGCCCTGCATCGCTGACAGGGAGGAGAAGATTGCTGCGGTGAGTCCTCACTGGTGTTGAGACTGAAGCAATGTTGTGTGCCCCAGGGCCCAGGCCGATGGGCTCAGGCCGGCCGTTGGGCTCAGGCCGGCCGTTGGGCTCAGGCCGATGGCCGGTTATCCCTGCATCACTGGCCAGGAGGAGACGATTGCTGCGGTGGGATATAGTTTAGATGGTATTGTTGATTGCAGCAAGTCAAATATTGTTTAAAAATTGCAACATTCTGGTTCTGTTTGGGTGTGGTTTATTCGCGCTTGGTGAATCGTGTCTTGTCCATTTTCCCTCTGGTCCTTCGCTGTCCCTTGCGCCTCCACACATGAGATTCCTCTTTCTTTGCACGCCACACAGATAGCTCGCGACACCAATGAGGAGCAGCTGGCGAGGGTGAGGGAGCAGAGCGTGGCTGATGGCTTCGACGTGCGGGCAGTTGTGGAGATTGCCAGGCGGTGAGTAGCGTGGAGGTGGGTGAGGGGAGATAGCACAGCACGACAGTGGGTGAGGAAGCAGAGCGTGGCTGATGGCTTCGATGTGCGGGCAGTCGTGGAGATTGCCAGGCGGTGAGCTTTTGGGGAGAAGGGTTGTGCAGTGGTGGGTAAGGGGGAGATTGTGAGGAGGTGGGCGCGGCGCGGGGGAAGGGAATGGCAGGCAGGCTCATGTTTGGTAAGGGGGAGATGGCAAGGAGGTGCATTGCTGCAGCTTGGGTGAACGGGAGAAAGCTTGGGGAATGCTACAAGAGGGCCGAGGCGATAGCACGCACGCCGGTCGGTTATTGTGTGCGCGCAGCTTTCAGTCACAAGGTCATGGCGTGTTGACTCGACTTGCAGAAGCCGGAAGGTGTGCAGGAACAGTGCAGCACTCATGTTGACGTGTTGACTCGACTTGCAGAAGCCGGAAGGTGTGCAGGAACAGTGCAGCACTCATGTTGACGTTTTGACTCGACTTGCAGAAGCCGGAAGGTGTGCAGGAACAGTGCAGCACTCATGTTGACGTTTTGACTCGACTTGCAGAAGCCGGAAGGTGTGCAGGAACAGTGCAGCACTCATGTTGACGTTTTGACTCGACTTTCAGCACTCTCAAACTCCCTGCTGTTTGTGGTTATTGCTGCTCATGGGTAGCGCAGGGAGCTGAGCAGCAGCTGGGAGGCCACAAGGCTGGAGGCGCTTGCATGGATTGCCACCCTTCTGCACCGCTTCCCACACCAGGTGAGCTGAATTGTTTGCGTTCTCACACCAGTTGGGGTAATTTGACCTGATTTTCACAGTAAGTGGGTTGCTTGGTCTGATTTCACGTTTTCTTTCCTCAACTCCTCTCCTTCCCCTCACGTCTCTTTCACCACATGGACAATCCCTCCACTTGCTTCCTGTTTCTCAGGTTTACTGTTTCGCCTTCTCATCCACCTGCCCTCCTCACACTCCCCCCCACTGCTCCTAGACCTCATGGACGATCCATCCACTGCTTTTCTCAAGTTGCTTGCATCGTGCTTCTTAAGCCTTATGTTCCGCCTTCTCAACCAAGTGCTCCGCCTGCCCTCCTCCCCCCCTCCTCCCCCCCTCAGCTCCTAGACCTCATGGACGATCCATCCCCTGCTCTTCTCAAGTCTTCCAAACCTCTCTTAGTTGTTCCCCTTCCCCACCCATCCGCCCCGCCTGCCCTCCTCACATCCCCCCCCCCCCAGCTCCTGAACCTCATGGATGATCCATCCACTGCTCTTCTCGAGTCCTTGCTTGCGGCGCTGGCAGACGACTCAGACCAGGTGTGCAGTGCAGTGCAGTGCAGTGCAGTGCGGTGCCATGCACACATGATTTATGAATTAGTGTAAGGTTTAAGTTAATGGCGGAACTCCGTGCGATATGAATTTTGTGCGATCCTATTGCCTGCATGCGTGGCTGGTTGGCAGATTTGAATCCTAGCCTCTCTTTTGGTCCCCTTTTGCCAGCCATCCCCGCAACTTCCACTATGGCTAAGCCTCTCTCTCTCTTCTCTCCCAATTCGTGCAATAATCATCCCACTATGCACCCATCTTATCACAGGTGGTGCTAGGGGCGCTGTCAGTGCAGGCCACAGTGGCCAGCCACCCGCACCACTTCCACCGCCTGCTGCTGCTCCTCCTCCTGCGCTTCAACTCCGACCGCGCCCTCCTTGACAGGTGCTCCTTCTCTGCATGCTCTCCCATTCTCTGAATGCTCTCATGGTCCTTACTCATGTTTCAGCCTCTCCCTCTTCTCTTGCTGCTGCTCCTCCTCCTGTGCTTCAAATCCGACCATGCCCTCCTTGACAGGTGCCCTCTCTCCTCTCTGCATGCTCCCCCACTCTGCTTGCTTTCCCTCTCTCTGCATGCTCCCCCACTCTGCTTGCTTTCCCTCTCTCTGCATGCTCCCCCACTCTGCTTGCTTTCCCTCTCTCTGCATGCTCCCCCACTCTGCTTGCTTTCCCTCTCTCTGCATGCTCTCCTGGTCCTTGATCGTCTCTCATCCTCTCTTTTCTTGCTGCTTCTCCTCCTGCAATTCAACTCTGACAGCAGCCTCCTTGATACGTGCAATTCACGGCACACTCTCCTAGCCTCCCGTACTTCTCCTTTTGTTCTTAGCTGCTCCTGCTGCTGCTCCTGCTGCTGTGGCTGCTTCGGCGGCTGCTGCTACTGCTGCTATAACACTCGAACTGCACCCACCTTCAGCCTCGTCCTCCTCGTCGCCTCTCTCCTTTTTCCAACGCCCAGCTCTACCTGCACAGACGAGGCATCATCATCATGACTATTGAGTCGACTCAAAAGTCACCCCGCCTCTCTCCTTTTTCCCATCTCCCCCCTCTACCTGCACAGACGAGGCAGCATCATCATCCGCCACCTCTGCGCCATGCTAGACGCTGATAAAGTCCTCCGAGAACTCGCATTCATCCTGCAGAACGAGTCAGACTGCGAGTTACCGGAATGCCCGAATGCCTTTTGAGTCGACTCAAAAGTTACCACAATGCCCGAGTTGCCGTACAACCTCACATATTCTCCCAACTCCAACCCTTCCCCTCCCCCTCTCCACCACCCATCCAGGCGGGGCAGCATCATCATCCGCCATCTCTGCGCCATGCTAGACGCTGATAAAGTCCTCAGGGAGCTGGCCTTCATTCTTCAGAACGAGTCTGACTGTCAGTTCGCCGCCACCATCGTGCCCACGCTCTCCCTCATCCTCCTCACCACTCCTCCCCTTTCGCCCGACTCCCTCCCCTTTCCCCATCCTCACTCTGACAAGCTGCTATTTTTTTTCCCACCCCTTCCTCTCTTCTCCACACACAGGCGTGGCAGCATCATTATTCGGCACCTGTGTGCCATGCTGGACGCTGATAAAGTCCTCAGAGAGCTAGCCTTCATTCTACAGAACGAGTCCGACTGTCAGTTCGCCGCCACTATCGTGCCAACGCTCTCCCTCATCCTCCTCACTGCCCCCGAGCTCGCCCCCATCCGCTCCAAGCTCCGTCGCTCCTTCGCCGCTGCTCCTGCTCCTGCGCCCGCTGCTGTGATGGCTCAACCCTCTTTCTCTGCCGCTGCTGCTGCTCATGCTGCTTCTGCCGCTGCTGCTAGTCATCTTGCTTCTGCTGCTTCTGCTGCTTCTGCTGCGGCTGCTGCAGCAGATGGTGCAGGGTCCTCCTTCTCTCCCTCTCCCTCCTCCGCCCCCCCCCCGTCTATGCTTGCGAGTGAGGGTGGAGGTGGCGGTGGGGGTGGGGGTGGGGGCGGAAGCGGAGTGGGAGGATCAGGAGTTGCTGCCACGGGCAGTGCACCCACAACAGCACCATCAGCACCAGCAACAACAACATCAGCAGCAGCGGCAGCGTGCAGTGGGAGGGGGCTGTTCCTGGCGCTGTACCCGGCATGGTGCCACTCACCCATCGCTGCAGTGAGCCTGTGCCTGCTGGCCCAGGCGTACGAGCATGCGTGGTGCATCGTGGACGCGTTAGAGGAGAGCGACCTGTCCCTCAGCCTCATGGTGCAGGTGGGTGGGTGGAGAGAAGCGTCTGTCTGGGGTGGGGTGTAGGGGAAGATAGAGATGAATAGTAGCGCCACCCACTGTCACTGGCCCAGGCGTACGAGCATGCATGGAGCATCGTCTTTTGAGGCGCCTCAAAATTCATGGTGGATGCTCTAGAGGAGAGCGACCTCTCCCTTAGCCTCATGGTGCAGGTGTGTGGCAGGAGACAGGTGTTGGGGGGGGGGGAGGGGGTAGGGGGGAACAGATAGATAGTATCACTGCCACCCGCTGCCATGCACCCAGGCGTACGAGCATGCATGGAGCATAGTGGACGCGTTAGAGGAGAGCGAACTCTCCCTCAGCCTCATGGTGCAGGTGGGTGGCAGGGATGCTGTGACAAAGGGAGCGGGGGAGGGGTATTTAGATATACTGCAACCGGCAACACTAGGAGCAGCACTATTGGCACCAGCACCGCCGGCAATAGCAGCAGCGCCACCACCACCACCAGCACCAGCAGCGGGGTTTTTGCGGTGCTGTATCATACATGGTGCCATGCCATATTGATAACGGACTTATGGACACCAAATGGTCTGCTACTTTTTCCATCCCCGTGTGCATGTGTGATGCCCATCTGCGCGTGTATGTACGAAATCGCTCTGTGCATCGGCATGTGCATGTGTGTGTGCATGTGTGTGTGCATGTGTGTGTGCATGTGTGTGTGCAGATGGACAAGCTAGTTCTCCTGCTTGAAACGCCCATTTTCAGCCGATTGAGACTGCAGGTCAGTGCCTTGCCTTCCATTATGTCATCATAAGCTCATCATGGGTTTCATTTCACCAACCTGGTGCCATGCCTTCATCATGCCTGCATGCCTTCATCATGGTGCGTTACTGTGGTTGCCTAAGCGGTTCCACGAGCTACCTCAGTTTTGCACGCTCGTCCTTGTGCTTCCGAATCAGGCCCTGGTCCACCAAAGCACCTGTGCTTCTCCTCCGTGTCCCCCCAACAGTTGCTGGATCCTTCCCGTTCTCCTGCTCTCCTGAAAGCACTCTACGGCCTGCTCATGCTGCTGCCACAGGTATGCTTCTACATGCAGTATGTGACGCTCATGGTGTGACGCTCATGGTGTGACGCTCATGGTGTGACGCTCATGGTGTGACGCTCATGGTGTGCCGCTCATGGTGTGCCACTCACATCTGTTCTAATTGGTTTACTAAAAACGAGGAAAATCAAGAAGGAATAGAATTTATGGTGAAGAACGACGTACCCCCACACTCGCTGCACCCTCTCTCAATGCACCCTCTCTCGCTGCACCCTCTCTCAATGCACCCTCTCTCAATGCACCCTCTCTCGCTGCACCCTCTCTCAATGCACCCTCTCTCGCTGCACCCTCTCTCAATGCACCCTCTCTCAATGCACCCTTTCACTGCACCAACCTGCTCTGCGCCATCCTCTATGGGAACATCCTTTATGGGAACATCTTGGGGATTAATGACATCCTCTCTACCTCTCGCTTTTCCGCCCCTCCTTCAAGTTCTGCCTCCCTGCATATCCGTTTGCCTGTCTCCGTTTCCATCTGTCTGTTTCCCATTTTTCCAACACATCCTTGCCGTGTGTGATAAGTCGAGTTTTGAGTGCTTCTTCTGAAGGCCACTCAGGTCGTATCCCTGCCTAGTGTCGAGAAGTTGGTGTCAAGAAGTTTGCGCATGCGATTGGTTAAAAAAAAACGATTGACCAATCGCATTGGCCAGAAATTTGTTCTGGACCAATAGGGTGCGAGCACTTCTTGACACTAACTTCTTGACACTAGGCAGGGATACGACCTCAAAACTCCACTTCTTCAAACCCATTTTTCCACCACATCCATGCCTCCCCTTATTCGCTCCTCTCCCCGCCCTCTCCCCTCCCTCCTCTGCCGTTGCGCCTCCCTTCACAGCACGGAGTGGCCTTCAGAGTGCTACACACGCGCCTCTCCACCTTCCCCCCTTCCTTCATGCTCCCCTTTTTGTTCCCTTTCTTCCTTACCCTTTCTCATCCCTCCTCACCCCTACCCACCCCTTCCCACCCACCCATCTTCCTCGCAGCATGGAGTGGCCTTTAGAGTGCTACACACGCACCTCTCCGCCGTCCCCTCGCCCTTCCCCTTTTGATTCCCTCTTTCTCCCTACTGTTTCCCATCCCTTCTCACCACTTCCCACCCCTTCCCACCCATCCTCACAGCACGGAGTGGCCTTCAGAGTGCTACACACACGCCTCTCCACCGTCCCCTCGCCCTCCATGCTCCACCCCACTCCTCCCCCCACCCCCTCCTTCCCACTCTACTCCACCTCCTCCTACCTGCCTCACCCAGCAATCCCTCTAACCGCCTCCTTTGCACCTACCACACTCCCTCCACACCTCTCTTCCGCTCCTGCCTCTTTCTCCTCCAAGCCCTCCTCTCGCTCCTCCTCCCCTCCACCTCACTCCTCCCTCTACGGCCCACTCCCCCACTCCCACCTCCTCTCCTCTGCTTCAGCATCAGTATTGGGATCTGCTTCGCAGCCCATTTCCATTCCATCGCTCAGCAGTAATGCTGGAGCAGCAGCAGGCACGGGAAGCAGCCAAGAGGAGCGCATGGGAGCAGGACAAAGCCCATCTGCTCCTTCCGCCACTCCCACTGCCACTGCCACTGCTGCTGTTCCAGCCATTCCCTCAGCGGGTCCAGCGTTTCCCCTCGCTGCTGCTGCCATGCGCAGTGCTTCTTTCAACGCCTTCCTCTCCCCTGCTGCCTCTGCTTCTGCTGCTTCCCCCGCTGCTTCAGCCGCTGCTGCAGCTGCTGCTGCACATGCCGTGCACTCCAACACCGCAGACGGATCAGCAATCTCGCAAACGACTTCTTCACAGGGTAATTTACCCTCCATGGCAGCAGTAAGATCAGGCAGCTGGTCCGGCGGCCCAGCAGCAGCAGTGCCTCCTGTCGCAATGGCAGCAGGAGGAGGAGCAGGTGTGGCCGTACCAGCAACAGCTGCAGGAGCAGCAGAAGCAACAATGATGAACGGATTCAGTGCAAATACCTTTCCCAACACCACCACCGCCACCAGCAGCAGCAGCAGCAGCAGCACAGACGGAAGCGGATCGTCACTAGACGGCCCGTCGCTCCTCCGGATATTCCTGGACATGCAACGCAGGCACAAGGAGCCAAAAGGCCCGACAGGTGGCAGCAGGGGATGGAGCTGTGCGGGGTCAGGCGCGTTCAGTGTAGCAATGGGGGGTTTTCATGGAGGGGGAGTGGGAGGAGGGGGCGGCGGAGGTGGTGGGGGTTTGGGAGGAGTGGGAGTGGGTGGAACACAGTTTGGTTTGCCGGGTGAGGAAGGTCCTGGGATGGGTGGTGGTGATGATGGGCGGTTGGGGAGTGGGGTGGGCAGAGGGGGAGTGTCGCTGTCACAGCATGGAGGTGGGGGGTTCTTTCAACCATTACAGCAGGAGTAGCATAGCATGATAGCAGCATGTTGCGAGGTGCATAGAGGTACCATACAATGATTTGTGGTTCCTCTGTAACCAGATATGGTAGGATGGGCAGCAGCACAGCATAGTGCTTTGGTTGCACACTGTTTGGATTGTCTGCGTATGTGCTTCATAGCATGGTCAAGGGTACGAGGCTTACCTACCGTATCCTGCCACAATATAATGCATTTTATTCCCTTGCGATCAGAGTGTACTTAGAATTGCTCATTCCTCCCCTGAAATGACTTGTTTTATTCTCAAGAAAATGTTTGTTAATCCCTGCCAGGGCCCAAAATTGGTTTAGGCCTACCCTTACAAATCAGGGTTCCAGCCCCTCCTTACCCCGACCCCTAGGGTAATTTTTTTCGTACCCTGTTTGCAGCAGGGTAAATCAACCACCCTGATTTGAGCAGGGTAGTTTTAGGCCAACCCTGTTTCAGTTACTATTTTGTGAGCTACCAGTAAGTTATGTACAATGACATAATAAAGTAGCACTCACGAAGTCCATGAGCAGGGCTGACGTTTCAAATTTGGGTACCCTGTGTTGGGCTGAAAAGGCCCTAAGGATCTTTACAGAGGATAACTCTGGGTAGGATACTTTGTAATAGCGGAAGCGTTTAATGAAGCTTTGTGAACCGACCTTGCACTAGTGTGTGAGAGCAAAGTAGATTAAATTATAGTGAAAGGATACAAGCTTATATAATAATACGGGGAATATGAAGAGATACGGTTATAACTACTTTTACTGTTGCTCTTGCGGTTCGATACAGTGCGACTCGGGCAACTGCTCTGTAACGAGTCAGTTGTGTGTTCTTAACTGTCGCGCTGTTCTTGTCAGGTCAAGGGTCAGCGACCTTTGACTTTCGCGTAACTTCCTGCAGCCGATTCAACCTCCGAGGGTTGACTCGCAGGTGCTTCGGTGTAGGTTGCCTCGCTTCTGGTGCAATGTTTTGACACTGCTGAAGCGTTTAAGTTCCATTGTTTCCAACACTCCCTTTCGCTTCTGGAGTGTCGCTACTGGTGACGTGGCTCTGTCCAGTCAGCAGCATGCAGTATTCGAACTTCTGCTTTCCGAGCTTCTTGGTCAAGTAATCGGCTGCCATCTCAGACGTGGGACAGTATGCCAGTTCGAGTTTCCCCTTCTCGATCTCGTCCTTCACGAAGAAATAGCGTAGGGCAATGTGTTTCGTCCTGTTTGCGAAGTCGTTCTTGTTGGCGATGCGAATTGCTGACTGGTTGTCGCAGAACACGGTGAAGCTGGGTAACTCGGCTAACTTCGCTTCTTCCAGCAGTTCACGAAGGTAAAGTCCCTCCTTGGTGGCTGAGCAGAGTGCGATATATTCCGCTTCAGCTGAAGACAGTGCGATTAACTCCTGCTTACTCGACTGCCAGGAGATAGGACCGATAGGCTCGAGGCGGTAGACATAGCCGGTGCGTGAGCGCCTATTGTCGGTGTCGCCGGCGTGATCGGCGTCGACGTAGCCGATTAGCTTGGTCGGTGTAGTTGCGTTTTTGTGATAAGTTAGTCCGATCGTCGCGGTGCTGACGAAGTAGTGGAGAGCGCGATCGAGTTCCGCCAGATGCTCTGCTTCAGGCTTCTTGAGATAGGTGGCGAGCTGACTCGCGGAGTAGGATAAGTCGGGACGGCATGTGACTGCTGCGAAGAGAAGACACCCGAGCTTCTTCTGATAGTCGCGTATGCCGGCAGGCTTGAGTAGAATAGATCGTTCCTTTTCGGTTCCTGACGTGTAGTGGTAAGGCGTGGAGAGGGCGCTTGGTGTGAGACCGAAGCGTTTCGCGATGGTGTCGGCGTATTTCTCGGCGCTGAGGTAGATTGCGTCCTTCCCTTCTCGGATGTTGAGTCCGAGATATTGCGTGACGGTAGATGAGACGGTGAGGGTAAGGTCCTTCTGCAGCTCCCCTTCGAACCACGTGGCGATGCCGTCGGTTGACCCAATGTAGAGGAGATCGTCCACGTAGACGATCAGGAGAACGTAGTCGCTTCCCTTTGTGAGGCGGTACATGCCCTGGTCATGCGGGAGTTGTTTAAAACCGATGCGGATAAGGCGGGTGTGCAGGTACTGCTGCCACAGTCGCGGTGCCTGCTTGATCCCGTAGAGCGACTTAAGCAGTTGACAGACTTGATTGGGTTCACCGTGGGAGCCGTGCGGGAGCTCGACGAAGATTTCTGCATCCACAGGTGCGTAGAGAAAAGCGTTTGCGACGTCGATTTGTCGCAGTTTCTTTTTCTTCATGGCGGCGATGGCGATGAGGATTCGGAGTGAGGTGTGACGGCTGACCGGAGCGAAGGTTTCGGTGTAGTCTCTTCCGAGCTCCTGGTCAAAGACGCGCACAACCCAACGACCTTTGAATTTGTCGATGGTGCCGTCAGCTTTCGTCTTCACACGGAAGACCCACTTCCCGGTAAGGATAGTCTTGTTCTGTGCTACGCCGATGGGAACGATTTTCCAGGTGTTGCGCTCCTCCAGTGCCTTCAGCTCTTTGTCCATGGCTTCACGCCATTTCTCCCTATGTTCCCCCCCCAGAGCCTGTTGAACCGTCGCAGGCTCTTTAGGAATGGCGACGCCATGGACTGCGGTGACGAGTCCAAGGATTTGGAGGCCACTCTGCGTGTAGCGGGGGAGTGTGCCGGGGAGAGTGTTGTCCTCGGGATAGGCTGCTTCGTCTCCCTCTTCTGGATCAGGTATGAAGTTTGGTCCTATGCGTTCAGCTTCGTCGGTGTTGACTCTTGCAGGTGTTACGTAACCGTTGTCGGCGAAATGGTGGTAGATTTCGGCGCTGTTACTGTCGCGCGGGTTTTCGTCATCCATGGGGACGTTGACGGAGCAGTACGGGAGTGGTCCGGCTGCTTCCGAGGCTCCTTCCACGTTCTGCTCGTCCCATTCAGCTTCGTCTTCTGCCGATGCGAAGGCTCGGTTGCCACGGAAACCACCTGTGGGGTCTCGGTTCTCGTCCAGGTTGGCAAGATAAGTTTGCATGGTGAGTCGTTCGTAGAAGATGATGTCACGTGCTGCCACTGTTTCCTTTGTGTGGACGTCGAAGATTTTCCATGCGTTGTAGTGTTTTTCGATGCCCAGGTGTAGCCCCCACTGTGCTCGATGCGAAAATCGGCCGGCCCGTGCAGATGGTGGTCGGTACTGTACCATGCACCCAAAAACTCGTAACATTTTTGTGTTGCCCAATTTCCCGGTCCACAGCAGATGCGGTGATGCGTTGTTCGGGAATGACGACGAGGAGAGCAAGTTGTGTAGCATTACAGCGTGGTCCATCGCTTCTGGCCACTGGTGGTTGGGAAGCCGCATGCCACGTAACAGTTTCCGCATGGTGTTTTGGAGGGTCCTGTTCAGCCTTTCTGCTACACCCTGTTGTTGATGGGCGTAAGGAAGGGAGATGAGGCGCTTGATGCCTTTCTCAGCCAGGTAGTTCTTGAACCTCGTCGAGGTATATTCTCCTCCTTCGTCTGTTTGGAAGCTTTTTAACTTGACGCCCGATTCCCGCTCTACTACGGGAAGCCACGCGACGAACGCCTCGAACGCCATATCTTTGCTTGGGAGATTCAGGTGCCAGACGTAGCGTGTTGCGGCGTCGATGAAGGTAATCGTGTAGAGGTACGTATTCTGCCCTGGTTCACGGTTGTACAGGATGTCGCTGTACACCTTTTTGAGTGGTGTGTAAGCTGGTGCACTTGGGTTGTGGTGCGATGGGAACGGTTGATGAGGTAGGTCTCCTTCTGGGCAGGTGAAGCATGTGCCGCGTACGCGTTGGAGTTCTTGTCCGTTGGTTAATAGGAGTGAGTCTTTGTCAAGCACTCCTGCTCGTATGGTGTTGTTTAACACTGTGTTGCTTGGATGTCCCATTCTTGCGTGCCAGGTTGCTTCGTCGGCACGGTGTCCGGGTGATCGTCGGTACAGATCCGAGCTGGAGTAGAAGCTGGTGGTGAAGTTGGGGCTGTGATGAAACTCTCGTGGTGCTGGCTGAAACTGTTGTGCAGGTGTCGGTGATGCGTCGTCAACGAGGACTGGTGCCGTTGAAGGACTAGCGACTGGTGTTGTTGTTGGTGCCGTTGTTGTCTCTGCTGCTGCCGATGTTGTTCCTGCTGCTCCCGATGTTGTCTCTGCTGCTGCCGATGTTGTTCCTGTTGCTCCCGATGTTGTCTCTGCTGCTGCCGATGTTGTTGCTAATGCCCTTGTTCGCTCTGTCTCAGGGATGGTATACGAATACCAGAAGCCGCCCGGACTGAAGTCAGGGTCAAGGTCCGGAGGGTGTGTCCAGTTGGTGAAGTTAACTATGGCGTCACTGTCGGCGGTGCCAAGATCGGGAACGAAGTCCAAGACGAAGACGTTGTTCTTGAGGACCGCCTTCCCAATGTAGAGACCTCCTCTCCCATGATACAACTTGAACTCATGGATGGTGCTGTCTGCTTCGAGGTGAATACCTTTTGCCATCAGCTGACTGACACTCAGTTAGTTGTAGCCGAGGCCTTGTGCAATTAAAACCTTTGACATCTGTAGTATGATGTTTGTCTCTCGCGACTGAAGTTGTACGATTCCTTGCCGTCGTGTGCGCAGGTTCTGGTTGTTGGCGACGGTTATGACGACTTCCCATTGAAGCTGGTATTCTTGTTGTACGAAGCGTCCTGAAGAGCACATGTGCTGTCCGCAACAGCTGTCCAAGAACCACGTGTCTGTCCCTGAAGGCTCGCTTTGGGCGATGGCGGCGTACGTTGGATTTGGTTTGAGTGCTTCGTGGCGAGGTGTGGTGTTATCGAGATGGTCTTCTGGTGAGTAATGTGGCGGTGACTCGGTGATGCAGGATTCGCTCAGTCTTGCCATGCAGCTGATGATGTTTCTTGCTCCTTGTGCAGGTTGTCCCGGTGAAGTTGAGGCTTGGACCTGAGTCGTCGGGTTCGCCTGTGTTGAAGTCACTTGACTGCTTGAAGGTCGTAGTTGCCGCTGCAAGGCAGT